GTGTATGTCCTAATTTGCCATTTTTATTGAGAAAATAATTGTTAGTTTTCATGTGATAATCTGTGAATATCTCCTTCGACTCTCTTCACATCATCATCGCAAACATTTAAATGCAATAGTAACTTATGCCACACTCTTACAATCACTTGCAATAAGGTGCAAGGGGCTGAACTTATTCGAAAAGGGGATACCTTCCTTGCATTATTCAACGATCGTAATACATTTGGACTCGGTTCCCATATGGCAAATGCTGTTTAAAATTCGCATTGAAAATAAAAACAAAATTAAATTGTTTGCTTACAAATAATTTTAAGTACAAAAGATACGAGAGTCTTTAAATAATTATATACTAACACAAAAAATGACTTATTTATGTTCCTAATTATCACTTATTTTGTAAATTATCTCAGAAATTACAAGTCGGCAGAATAATCCAGTCGAAAGTTATCTCAGAAATACTTATATGTCTGGGTCATAGCTCACGTACACTTCAATTAAGTTCCATGCTCACACCTGCTTGAAAAAGTAGGTTCCAAGCAGTCAGCTGAGGTGGGGTGTTGAGTAACTAAGTCAGTCCTGCTGACAGGCTTTTAACGAGCAAAACCAAAAAAATCATTGACTTAACTTTTATTTTTGAAAGGGTGAACCGATAAGCCAGCGGAAGACCTTAGTCAGATGACCAAAAACTCCAGCGGCGGGTCATCATGACTAAAATCCTATTTTCTGACCAATCTTACCTAACCTAACCTAACAAAATAAATTATCTGAAGCCTCGTACATAGTCTAAAGCAATAATTTATATTATACAGTATGATAGGGTTAATATATGAAATTATTAAAACGAATTTAGCATTAGTGTCAGTGGAACGCCTTCCAACTGAACAAAAGAAATTAATGGAAAAATAAATAAAGAAATAACTTAGGAAAAAATGAGAAAAATGATTTTTGAGAATTTTACTTAAAATTTAAATAAATAAAAAAAAATGGCCTTCAGTTCTTTTAGTTGGGCAGGAGTAGGTATGGCCCTGGATAGTTCCTCTGGTGTTATTTGTGTAGGTTATCCTGGGCAGATGGTAATCCGATGTTCTGGAATCTCCTACCACTTGGATGGAGCACAAGTAGAATAGGTAAGGGCCGGTAGAAGTAGAATAATGTTAATAAGTATTATTAACACACGTCTTGCTCCTTTATCTGGCGTCTATCCTGGAAGACCACGCCAGGAACAGAGCTGGTAAATAAGAGAAAATAAACTGGTTACCCATAGTTATGATAATATAACATTTAAGAATTGAAAAGAATGATAAATGCCAAAATCATTACTGGTAACCAGCAAACAAAATAAAGAAAAACAGTGATACTCCTGGTATATCACCCTACCTGATTAGGAGAAGAGTGGAGGTGAAGTGACTCTCCAAACTTCAACCCACACCAGGTAAGGTCAATATTACCAGGAGTAGAAACTAACAAATCGGACACCAGGAACTAGTTTCGCCCCAGCCCGCCAGAGAGGAGGGGGGGGGGGTGCACGCGACGTAACTAATGGTTCCTGGTTGCCCGAACAACCTTAACCCCACTTACACCTACTTTTCCCTCACAATTAGAATAGTTAAATATGTAAAACTGATACCTCTCATACTCACGATGGTACACACACACAATTATGCGATTAAAAAAAAGCCGGAAGAGTTAAATAAACTATTTTTAAATGCAAAAGTGTGGAGAAGATGCAGCTGGCTTTATGCTGAACCTTGGATACCACACAAGATAAAGTGAAATATGTGACGGTTCGTGGGGTGTTTGTGGTTCCTGCTGCGCTTGTCGTTCCTGTGGTGCTCGAGTTTCTTGTAGTGATCGTGATTTCTGGAATGCTTGTGCTTCCTGGAATGCTTGTGCTTCCTGGAATGTTTGTGCTTCCTGGAGTGTTTGTGATTCCTCAGGTACTAGTACTTGTGGTTTCTGGACTACCTCTTCCACTATCTCCACTTCCTTCTTTTATTTTTCTTCCTCTCTCTCTCTCCCGTCCCTGCCTTTCTTTCGTATAAACACTGGCTCCCTTACCTGCGTGTGTTAGTGTTTCTGGTTAATAGTGTAACTCGGACAAAAACGCCATCATAAGTTTTAGTCTCTTATGTGCTGGTTATTTGTGTATTGTGCAAGTCACGGTATTGTGTCTTTCTATTCTTCACAACTAACACCGATTCATGTCTCTGTCTGGTTTTGTCTCTCTTCCCTTCCTTCGTTTACTTCCCCTGCTCCCTCCCTTCCTATCTCATTGCCCACTCTCGACTAATCAACTCCTCTCTCTTCCCCCATCACTTACTCTCACCCATGCTCCCCTTCATAATTTTCTCCATCCATCACCCACTCTTAACTGTTTCATCGCTACTTCCCTTCCTCATCCACTCGCATAACCTCCCGTCCATCCTTCCTTCCATCACACTCTCGACTAACTATACCGACCATCCCTCCTTCCATCACACTCTAGACTAACTACCCCGACCATCCCTCTTTCCATCACACTCTCGACTAACTATCCCGACCATCCCTCCGTCCATCACACTCTCGACTAACTACCCCGACCATCCCTCCTTCCATCACACTCTCGACTAACTATCCCGACCATCCTCCTTCCATCACACTTCGACTAACTACCCGACCATCCTCTTTCCATCACACTCTCGACTAACTACCCGACCATCCCTCCTTCCATCACACTCTCGACTATCCCGACCATCCCTCCTTCCATCACACACTCGACTAACTATCCCGACCATCCCTCCTTCCATCACACACTCGACTAACTACCCCGACCATCCCTCCTTCCATCACACACTCGACTAACTACCCCGACCATCCCTCTTTCCATCACACTCTCGACTAACTATCCCGACCATCCCTCCTTCCATCACACTTTCGACTAACTACCCCAACCATCCCTCCTTCCATCACACACTCGACTAACTACCCCGACATCCTCCTTCCATCACACACTCGACTAACTACCCCGACCATCCCTCTTTCCATCACACTCTCGACTAACTACCCCGACCATCCCTCCTTCCATCACACTTTCATCTAACCACTTCAACCGTTCTTCATTCCATCACACAGTGTCGACTAATCCTTCCATCCATCTCTACAGCCATCAACCATATTATGGATTTATGCCTTTACCATTGCATTGGATTCCATAAACCGAATCACTGACATATCTACACTATATGCAGGCCATAATTAATGTTTCTAAAATAATATTTTTTCACCAAGGGTGAACCTGAGTACTTAATAAACCCCTTAAAAAATTGTTCAGAGGGTAACAACATTAAACATAAACACTGTACTTGAAACTAGTTTATTATACTAGAGGATATATGCATCTCAGTATATTAAGAATACATGCAAAAATCAGTGTTCTTCCTCATATACCAAACACTTGAGACAATGAGGAAATGGTATGGTGATACCGACAAGATGTGGAAAAAGACACTTATGTACAGTTCAGGACATTTATTAAAGGAAACGTTTCGCCACGAGTGGCTTCTTCAGTCCTAATTCAAAGAAAACTAAGAAAACATGTATATATATAGTGGCAGGAGTCACCTCACCTGACTCCTGCCACTATATATACAAATGTTTTCTTAGTTTTCTCTGTATTAGGACTGAAGAAGTCACTCGTGGCGAAACGTTTCCTTTAATAAATGTCCTGAACTGTACATAAGTGTCTTTTTCCACACTTGAGACAATATTATTTTTTTATAAGTAATAATAATTGGAGGGAATATAAATATATATGGTATACTCATGATATGAGATAACAGGATTCCATTATCCAAGGCACTCTAACTATACTATCCAAGATAGATACAGCGTTGTAAAACTGTAGTCAACACCTTAAACATGGAAGAAGAAAAGCAACCATCAAACACCCGAAGATGAACATACAGAGGACCTAAAACTTTAACAAAGTTCCAGTTAGAATACTGGGCAGTGTATTTCCATGTGCCACGGCTCTGATAGTCAGTCAATAACGTAGAAATATCAGAAGCCAGCCTCTGAACAGAAAGATATCATGACAGGAAATTCCAGTACACTCTCTGACTCACCACCAGAGAAATTTAAGGATATAGGAAACCATAGACGAACGCTTAGAAGCAAAGAGAAGGTGAGAATCAGCTAGCTAGCAAGTCCACACTAACCACTGACAAAATATGGCAGACGGAAGGACAGAGAGAGAGAGAGAGAGAGAGAGAGAGAGAGAGAGAGAGAAAGAGAAACACAGTCAAAAAGTCAAAAAGACTGACAAACATTGACAGAGGCAGTTCTCATCTCTAGGCGATTTCTAGATTTTTTTGAGTAACTAGCATGGGTAAGCAATACTCAGAAATATTATTCATTCAAATATAGAAGTATAATTAAATGGTGACATACAACAATGAATAATGATACACAGACGTGACAGTGGTGAGAAGGTCACACCCCTTACTGGACTCAATCAATAGTGAAAAGCACAGGGAAGTCTAAAACACAGGTTGCATCTATTGAATCTGGCCAGTAGTCACGTCTACGACCCACTCAACAAATTAACCTACACAAAATAAATTTACTACGATCCTACTCACACAACGGAACACTGATACAACAAATATCATAATATTACTTTTGTAATTCCGGCTTTGAATAATAAAAGCACCAATTTTATGATGTTGGGTAAACAAATCTTGTGCACGAGGGGGAAAACCTTATAGATAATAATAAAAAAAAATAATTTTTATATTAAAAAGTAGTATTTCAACTTCAGAAATGTTTGTATTGTGTTTGTCTGAAACTAACACTAATACTTTCAACAGTGATATGCATACATAATAGAAAATTGTACGAGTATATCATACCTACTTTTGATTAACCATAACCTCCCTCACTGATGTTAGATTATCTCCCTCCCTTCTCAAACGACCCATTCTCGTCTAACCACCATCCCTCTCCCTCCCACACCACCACAGATCTCCCCGCAGCACACGAGACTGGTGACGCCTGAAGCCCGACTGAGGAGCTCAGCTATGGGGTTGGGCGTGATTGAGGATGGTCGTGGTGGGTTGTCGCAGACGTCGGAGCTCACACTGGTGCTCAGGCCGACACACTTCAACCCCGGGGGTCAGGCCACACTCACCTGCGCTGCCACCGTTCCTGATGTCTATCATATGTAAGTGTGACCCTTGCTGCTGACATCATTGATGCTATTAACAGGATTATGTTTGCTTATACCTTACCACTAACACACCAATACCACATCATTACCACACCACAACATTACTACCACACTATCATGCCACTAACTTATCACTATCACATCAATACCACACCACTACCGCAACAATAAAATATCACCATACAACTAGCACATTATTACTACTATCATACCACTTACCCATGACCACCACTACATAAATCACTCCCATGCTCCACTACTCCACAATACCACCTAACCAACACAACCATCCATTTTACACCCTCCATCCACCACTACCATACATACCAACTTACCCATAAACCCACACACAACTACCTTTCCATTTCACCAAATACCATCACACGCTACATACCACCACAAAAACCCATCCATACTAAAATACCACCATCTGCATCCACCACACCCACACCCCCCCCAACCATATATACTACCACTCCATCCCCAAAACTAACCCCATACCAAACCCTAAAACCAACACCACAACCTACATACCCACCCATAAACTGCACCAACCACACCATAAAATCCCACCACACCATCCCAACACTATTACATAGACCACCCACTACAATCACCACCTCTACCATTACCCCCCCTCCCAAACCACACCATTCCACACACCACTTACATAACTACCCTCCCACCAACACTCCATACAATAAAATACAACAACCCCAATATACAAAATGCTTTAAACCATATCCCACCCACAAATTGCCACACACAAAACATACACAAAAATTAAAAAACTAACCTATACCAAGAACACTACATACACACAAAACAGACACAACACACACAATACAACCACTTCACATAGCAACCACAATACCATACACACTACTATCCCAACCACCCATAAACACACACTAAATAGCGACCATACACCAACCACTGCACCACCTCCTTACCAACACCACAAAACCTTTTAACCCCCAACAACTACTACCCCTACCCAACCATAACACCACCATCCACTACCAATACAACCACATCCACCACCATAACTACGCACACACCCCATAACAACCACTTACCTAAAATATGCACATACTACCAAAACACACACTACCATTAACACCACACCAACTATCCATAACACCTACACGGACTACCATAAAACCACATCCACTACCATAAAACTCACCACTACCATGCAACCCCACTAAAATACACACCATACCAAAACACCAACCACACCATAACACTCCACCATTTCCAAAACCCACCACCACCTACATAACACCACACCACTCCCATAACCCCACACCACTACCATAAAACCACACACCACTACCATAACACCACACCACTACCATAACACCACACCATACCATAACACCAAAACCATTTACCAAAAACCCCAAACCCCACTACCATAACACACACCACTACCATAACATCACACCACTACCATAACACCACACCACTACCATAACACCACACCACTACCATAACACCACACCACTACCATAACACCACACCACTACCATAACACCACACCACTACCATAACCACACCACTACCAAAACACCACCACCACTACCATAACACCACACCACTACCATAACACCACCACTACCATAACACCACACCACTACCATAACCCCAAACCCCACTTACCCACCACTACCATAACACCACACCACTACCATAAAACACACACCTAACACCACACCCACTACCATAACACCACACCATACCATAACACCACACCACTACCATAACACCAACCACTCCCAAAAACACCACACCATACCATAACACCACACCATACCATAAACCCACACACTCCCATAACACCACACATTACCATACCATACCATCCTTACCATACATCTTTTCATCTGAATACATAAATGATTTATTACATGTTTCCTGTCAGGATATAAAGGGCGTAATATGTGGCACTTCCCCTCACTGCCTTCCTAGTCTTCTTCTCCTCTTCTTCCACTTCATCATCTTTTCTTCTATCTAGTCACATTCTTATAATCATTTTTTTGCTCTCGTGTTTCTATTCCATGTATTTTCTCTCCTATCATTCTCCACATTTTCTTCCTTTTCTCTTTTTCTTAACACATTTTTCTCTTTTTCTCATTCTCTTCTTTTTGTTTCCTTTTCATTCTGTTTGTCATCCCATACTCTCATCTTTCTTTCCCCCTTCTCATCTTTTTCCTCTTTCTCCTCCTGATTTCTCTTCTTTATATATTTCCTCGTATCTCTTTTATCCTGCCCTTCTCTTTCCTCCTCCTCGTTTGTCTCTTTTCTTTTATCTAATCCTCTTTTTTTCTCATTTCCGACTTCGTACTCTTCATTTTTCCACTGATTCTCTTATTCCTGTTGTTCCCTTTCACTTTCTTCCCCTTATTCCCTCGCTCTCATTATGCTCCTCCTCATTGCATCCTCAACTTTTTTTTCTCCTACTAATTTATTCGTTATGTTCTTGTCTCTTTCCTCCCCCTCCTCTTCCCATTCTCATCCCCCTTTCCTCTCCCTCCGTTGTTCTATCATAACACACACATTTAGAACGAATTCAAGGTAATTAGTGTTTGGTCTTCTAGACTCATCCTTGACATAGATAACAGAGTCTCCTGGTGTTAGCCTCTGGCATGTGCTCTGTTTCCTGGTGTTAGCCTCTGGCATGTGCTCTGTCTCCTGGTGTAAGCTTCTGGCATGTGCTCTGTCTCCTGGTGTTAGTCTCTAGCATGTGCTCTGTCTCCTGGTGTTAGCCTCTGGCAAGTGCTATGTATCCTGTTGTAAGCGTCTGGCATGTGCTCTGTCTCCTGGTGTTAGCCTCTGCCATGTGCTCTGTCTCCTGGTGTTAGCCTCTGGCACGTGCTCTGCCTCCTGGTGTTAGTCTCTGGCATGTGCTCTGTCTCCTGGTGTCAGCCTCTGGCATGTGCTCTGTCTCCTCGTGTTAGCCTCTGGCATGTGCTCTGTTTCCTGGTGTAAGCTTCTGGCATGTGCTCTGTCTCCTGGTGTCAGCCTCTGGCATGTGCTCTGTCTCCTGGTGTTAGCCTCTGCCATGTGCTTGTTTCCTGGTGTAAGCTTCTGGCATGTGGGTCTATCTCCTGGTGTTAAGCTTTTGGCATGTGCTCTGTCTCCTGGTGTTAGCCTCTGGCATGTGCTCTGTCTCCTGGTGTTAGCCTCTGCCATGTGCTCTGTTTCCTGGTGTAAGCTTCTGGCATGTGCTCTATCTCCTGGTGTAAGCTTCTGGCATGTGCTCTGTCTCCTGGTGTCAGCCTCTGGCATGTGCTCTGTCTTATGCTCTTCTTGTCTGCTTCTCAGGACAACGGAGGTGTACCTCGCCTTGCCAGGCTTCAAGACAGCGGCTCCCTCGCAAAAACTGTATGGTTCTGCCCGACGCCATGGAGGGAGGGTGACTCATCTAATGGCTGCCACCTTCTCCCTGCTGGTGCTACTACTCTTGTAGGTGAATCTGGAGTGAGAGTAACTCACCTCGCAAGAAATGGTGGACTTCTTCTCTCATCCCACTACCCCCAACTGAAGCATGAACTGTAGCCCCAGTAATGGCAGTTTCAACAGGAATAGCAGCACAAGCAAGTTCACTTGCAGAAAGCACAATAACATAACACGAGGCGGGAAAAGTGAAGCGAGCAATTGCAGCTCTAGCAAGAAGACTACCAGTAGCATCAGCAATATACAGAGATGGAAGATTACGCTTCCTTGTAATAGTTACCATTCCACATGCTTCACTTTGCAATTACTGGAACTCCGTGTGTAAATATATACAGACGGAACATTTACGGGGACGTAGTGCTCACATCACCAATATACAAACAATCGTTAGTGTACCAAAAACACACACACGTGTAGCTCGTCATTTCATTTGTCATATTTTGAGTAGAGTGAACGTTTCGGCAGGATTTGTAATGGTATTTACAAGTTGATGTACATAACACACTTTCTCCCAGTGTATGAGAAAATAAACAAATAATCCTATATAGTATGTAAATACCGTTTGGAATAAACGCCTATGGAGTGAATTCAGGGTTTTAGCTTATAAGTGAATATATATGTCGTGCCAAATAGGTAAAACTTGAGATTTTGGATTAAATAGCAACGCACTTCTTGCCGAATAAGGCAAGCGAAAATTTGTGTATGCAATAATTTTGCGAAAATCAATCTGAGCCTACGAAAAAAAATATATTTCACTGTGCTGGTTTATTATTAAATTATTGTAAACTTATTTAAAATATATTTAGTTGGATTAGGCTAAATTAAATTGGGCTTGTTATAATAAGGTTAGGTAAGTTTTCTAAGGTTCTTTTGTACAAAATTAATAATTTTTATACTCACTTAAATGAAAAACATATATATTTAAACGTATAAGAGAAAAATTTAGAAATGATTTAATTTAAAATGTGTTCTTGCTAATTGACCAATTTTACCTATTCGGCACGACACACACACACACACACACACACACACACACATTCAATGCCCTTTTCATAAACAAGCGAAAGTATATACAAAGAAATATCGCAGCCAGCAGAATCCTTCACGACTGCAGAAAATTTCATTAGTGGAGAGCTGAAGATCTAGGTTCGAATCCTGCTGGTTGCGATTTTTTTTTCATATTATTATATAAAATATATATATATATATATATTATATATATTATATATATATATATATTTTATATTATTAATATATATATATATATATATTATATATATAATGATTAAATTACATGAAAGTGTATGCTTAAACACTGTATATAAGACTTAACGTACTATCACTGAGGTGCATCACATCCTCTTCAGATGTGATGAACAGAGAGGAGAAAAGCATTACTAAGATGTGGCCTGACCTGCCATGCAATTAGTATAGGATTACCCTAAGTGACCTGATTACCAAATGTTATTTAGAGATTACCTCTGTCCCAGCTGTGAATTACTGTTGAAATTAAATTGGCCTTCAGACAAACAGGTGTGTGGAAATGAAGTTTTCTCTTCAATAATCTCTCTCTCTCTCTTTAACTATCATATATATATCTATGTATATATATATATATATATATATATATATATTATATATATATATATATATATATATTATATATATTATATATTAATTTATATTTAACACTTGGTTAGCGATTAGTTACAATATGCACAATACCATCTGAGTACAAAATTAATATTCATTTCAAACTAATCTGGACTTTGTCACCTCACCATCACGACTCATGTCACAACTAGTGCATCATGGTTGTACTAGTGCAATATTGCTAACACTGTACATATAGCCAGGCTTCTACACAATAACTGTGAGGCAAAATCTCGTTGTGACACATTGTCTTTACATCATATCACTTTCAAATACATGATAGATCTAACCAGCGGCGGGTTTACTGATAAACAGAGTTGCGTTGTGGTCGCAAGGGGTACACAGATGTTTATTTACATATTATTCAAATATTTTTGATTCTGAAATGAAAACGCGATTTTTTTTCAAGTTCTCATATTTTGTTGAATATTTATGTCTGAAAGAATAAATCTATATGACGACGTGCTCACAAAGGTCCAGTAGGAGTCATGCAGTCAGTAGGGTCTTATATTAAACGTTTATGACCTTAAATGTGTAGACACTGTTGTGTAAGTGTTTAAATAGGAGGTGAAGACAATGAGTGTCTGGAGGCCACAACCAACCATTTAATGCTGCTCCATCACATCCATATGGCAGAGTTACAAGTTGACGTCCCTTGGGTCACAATAACTCTTGAAAGGAAGTCAACACTTCTCAGTCTCGTATGACAGGAAACGATAGTGTATTTCACTAGAATCATTCTTGGCTCCTTCAACATACACATCATGTTCACCAATGGTACATTACTGAGGGACATCTCTGAAGAAACAAACATATTAGGATATTAAGTACTTAATATCATGGATTTTCTCCACCGAAAGCGTATCTAATAATATGTCTAGAGAATCTAATGCCTGTGAATTCTCTGGATGAACTTCCACAGCTTTTGTGTGGATGTTCATTTAAATAACCCAAGAGAAAGACAAGTACAAGCAAGGTACAGTTGTATATAGTGATGTTTCATACTTTCCGTTATTCCCCAAGATTTTCTGTTGCTTCTACCAACCTATTTAAATCTTTCTATGATAACATATGAAGATGTAGACAATGACTAGCATAACCAAGCTAGATCACTGTCAAAATTAGTAAAAGAGTGTGGACTCTGTTGTCCAAAAATCGGTTGGAAAGGGTTATAGCCTAGTGACTCTCACTCTCACGAATCAAAAAATGACAATAGTGGTATATCCTAACCCAATCACTAAGATAACCTTTATGGTATTTTTGAGTGTCTGGAGGAATGGCTTTAAAACCTCCTGTGATTTTCATTGATAACTAGAAAGTATCATAGTAGTGATCCTAAGATACTTCAAGAAATATCTTTGAAGTAAAGTTGGAAACTTATTCTGAGAAGCACCACTTAAGAGAAAAATTTCACTAGAACACAGACACGGGCTTGTGAATTAATATTCCTTAAGGGAATTGCTTTTGTATATCTGGTTGTTAGTCACATGATAGTGAATAAATAATGAGGTCACCGTTTTGTGAGATGTAGTGGACTCATACAATCAAAATCTGAAGATTTGGTCTCCAAAGCAGCAATACGCAACAGTATTTGTAAAGTGCAGTACTTGTACACAAAGAGACCGTGGAAGAATTATTCTTTACAATACGGTCTCTGTTCTGCAGTCAAGTGTAGAACGAGGTGTGCATTTCTCCATCAGTGCAACTTTTCAATAACAAAACCAAGAATTTAACTTCTTTGAAGCCTTCTACAGTCCTGCAACTTCCTCAAGTGACTGAGCACTAAATTGTTCGTGAACAAGACCATTTGTAAGTGTCATTTACTATCTCATTCATCTTAGTAAGAGAACAAAGTGAAAAATTTACTTCTTGTGATGCTGGTAAAATTTCCTCACTAAATAAGCTTAAAACAGACTCATTATTTTCTATTGAATAAAATAAAGGTTGTGAAACCTTGTATCTTTGACATGACACTTGACTATTGCACTCTGAGGAAATATATGATCTTTTACTACAGGTTCCTCGCATATACAAGCTGCTAAAATTACGCTGTTTCCAATTTAAAGTTGGGCATCCTTCGAAAGAAATTCTCCTGAAAATCCAAATGCATTTTTCCGTGTAAAATACTTACTTTTCATAAGTTTCCCATATACCCAAATGTTTTTAACAGTGTTTCTATATTTGCATATAGAAACTCATTCCTTTGCGACAAGAAATAAATTCCAATGTATTTATAAGAAATCACTTCCTTCACCGTCTTTTCTTAATTAAGGCAGCACGTGATTAGTATAAAAATATCTCTTAGCCTTCCTTATACTTTCCTGAGAGTGGAATCGCAAAGCAAGGATGTATCATGTGTTTGAGATGTTATCTACTGCGAATATTGTGGTCTCACCCCAAACATCTGAATTTTCAGCACTGTTTCCTACATATATTCTGTGGAAGTAGTGAACCTCCTCAAGCCACCAGGATTATCCGAATTCTCCCGCTGATCTTTAAGACACTGATTACTGGTATAACTTTTTTCTTCAACATTACGTACGATTTTATTCCATTCTTTCAAGAAAAGTCTTGGATTTAACTGTAGGTGGAAAAGCACTTCGTATGTGAGGTGGAGTGTGAGAAGGTGGCGTTGGCTGTAACCTCCTTGTGTACTGCTAAGAGGTAAATTAGATTTGTTCATTCATTATTATTATTATTATTATTATTATTATTATTATTATTATTATTATTATTATTCAAGAACCGGTTCTGATGGAAAATGTTTTACCTCGTAAGTGTGAATCAGTATCCCACCATCTCCCGTATCAGTAAAAAATCCGTAAATAAAAAAAAAATTATGTCGGTGGGTATATATAACGGTTATAATCCTTGTGTAATGCTATCTGTCATAATGCTACACTTGTGTATGATGCTGTCTGCTTAAAGTTGGCACAGCCAAGGTTGGTCTGCCTAGGTATATACAGTGTATTGTAAACAACAAAATGTGTATTGGTAGCCTGGTGTTACCAGTTCGCAAGAGTCAAGCTCACTTGTTTTGATTGTTTCATAGTCATCATATTCCTCTGCTGATACAATGAATGTGTGTGTTCCAGTTAGTGGAGTACTAAACAGAGCAGCCAATCATCAAGTCCTCAACTTAAGGCAAAAACATTATTGTTAAAAATCTTGAAATGTGTGTCAGGATCATTCTTCATACACCTGGATACCACAGCAGCTGCCTCTTGTACAATGAATCCCATCCTGGGTGAGGGTGACTCTTCTAAACCATTTCTCATTCATCCTTGGCTGCTTACCTGCATTTCTGTTAACTCAAGATAAAGCTGAACGTTCCTCCCCATTTCTTCATAACCACGAATGGTAAATGATTTATTGGACATACTCTGTAATAATGCTGGAGTTTGTGGTGTTATTTAAAAACAGAATTAGGATCTTTCTTTTGCGGAAGCTTTAGCAACTCATTTCAATTATTAGGAGAATCGTGGTCTACTGCATTCGGAACTTTCATGCTTAACAGAATCTCTAAGAGAGTTGACATGGGATCGTCCCTATTGAAAGCAACGCCTCTCTAACCACTCCCTTCACAGTGTGAAGATACATGTATACCTTCTACCCAGGAAATTATGCTAAACTTCAACACTAATGTGAACAAAAAAGTTTATGGTAAATCGTTAATAATGTCATGCAGTAAGACAAACAATATGGGAAACGTAACGCGCGTAATACATTGACGATGATCGTGGCGCTGGCTTCCAGACAGTCTTTTAATTGTGTTGTTTACTGCTGAACGGTAACCACCTAGGATACCAGCAGCCTGTTATTGGCAACCGCAAGAAGGTCCAATAATCATATAAATTCCAAGAGCTCAGGTACACAAAACAAAGGTAAACACAAGATCCAGGAATGGGAAAGATTTCGGTGAACCTTTAATTAATGTCAAGGTACACAAGATAGCAAATGATAAAGAAAACATTAAGTTCTTTTAGATCTTCAAAATGTTGTCTCAATAGTGTAAAATCCATTTATACATTAAATTATACAATACATACGAGCAATATATTAAATCAGACAAATCCGAAGCTTGACTAACATTATACCATAATCAATGAAAACTAAAATCCTCACTTTGGACTAAGTTCTACACAGATACTGCATTAACACTAAGTCATATAAGGTCCTTTGGGAAGAGTATTACTCCACAAACACGTACTAAGTACACAACAATGTCCTCAAGAGATAGACGAAACTTCAACAGCAAACTTTTAAGTCCACACACAAGCTCTGCAGGCGATGTCTCGTGAACGTCACAACGAGCATAAAAAACATATCTCCAAAAATGGCACAAAATATGTCCGAGTCCACAAACTCTACGTGTAAATAGTCTCACATTACTTATCGCGCGGGAGCGAGCATGTGTGTGTGTGTGTGTGTGTGTG